AGCGCTTTGAGTTAAACCAGCCTTCGAAGAGCGCAGTAGGGAAAGCGCTGCAATCTGTCCACAAAGACAGCTTCAAGCGCACTGGCGTGGCCACATTTGCGGCACTTGCAGCGGCATTGGGAGTGGTGCATTATGGGCAGCTATCCCAGCATGCAAGTGACTGCAACGTGCTTTTAAAATGGGAGGGGTGGGGTGGAGTGAGACAGGGACTGTGTTGTGTGTATGTGGGGGGAGAGAGAGTGGGTTTTGGGGGGGCTGAGAGCATGTCAGCATGCTGTCTTGTAAGTTCAACAGCAGCAGACCTCCCCCTCCCCCCCCGCCTCTCTCTCTCACACACAGCATTCCACACTAATGGCTTGCATGCCGGCTGTCAGAAACGGAGCTTTGAAAGGGCATTTCCGCATTCCTACAGGAGTTCAAAACAATGACAAGAGTGGCCACTTGATTTATGGGACATTTCCAGAGGCCGATCAGAGCGCAGTAACGCAACACCTCGTTCACACTGACGCCTGAGCGTTGTAGCCAAGGCGCAACAAACATTATTCTGCTCACCGAGGTGGAGTACCAGCAGCACTGTAGCCGCGGAGTCAGAGCGCTCTACCTGCCTTGCCAGTGTGGATGGGGAGTGAGCTAGTGCACCTGGGGCTCCTTTATTGCGCTGTAACTCGCAAGTGTAGCCAAGCCCTTACAGTGCTGCAGCGGCATAGCTGCACTGGTGTAGGTGTGCTGCTGTAGTGCTTAGTGAAGACTCTACCTACGCCCAAGTGAGAGCTTCCCCTGTTAGTATAGGTACTCCACCTCCCCGAGAGGCGGTAGCTATGTTGATGGGAGGAGTCCTCTGTTGACATAGCGCTGTTGACACTGGTAGTTATACCGACCCAAGCCTTACAGGAGAGATGAGATGCTAATAAAATCCCCCAGGCACCGGATGTGTGTAACAGAAGGTGCTGATGTAATAAATAAGGAGGCTCACATTTGGACCATCTCGTCCATTTACATGTCCCAACTAGGTCTCAGTTGTATTCTCTTTAATGAATTAAACTTGTGGCTACTGTACAGAGATTATCAATTGTGGCCTAAAGTATTTTTTAAAAATAGGAGCCTAAAATTAGACTGTATACTCTTAAATGCTGAGCTCCCAGTAGCTTCCACTGAAATGAACGGGAGCTGCTGGGTGGTCAACAGGTCTGCAAGTTATGTCATTTTTTAGGCACCCATTTTCTAAAAATCTTGGCCTAAATATCTAGCTGTTAGGTTTGTGAAGGAAACCTTCCAAGTGTGGGTTTAAGCGATGTTGTTTCCTGGAGTCTGCAGATAGACAAACAATAGCTGTAAGGCAGGGACCCCCCAACTCCAGCCCTGCAGGGCGGCGGGAGACCCCTCCCAGCCACTGGGCAATGGGGTCCCTGCAGCTCCCAGCCACTGCCGGGGAGATGGGGCAGGGTGCTGGATCCTTCTCCCTCCCCATTTTGTCAAGGATGTTTTTAGTAAAAGTCAGGGACAGGTCATGGTTTCCGTGACTTTTTGTTTATTGCCCGTGACCTGTTCCTGACTTTTACTAAAAATATCCATGACAAAATCATAGCCTTAGTGATAATACTTGAATACATGGTGAATTCTCATATACTTATTGAGCGTGCTTGACAGCTCACACATGGCAACCTCAGGAATGGCTGGTGGGTGTAGGGGGCACTAAATTCACCAGACTAGGGTTTCCTTACAATTCAGGTTTTGCAGCCAGTCTGTGAACAGTCATTGCACAGGTTAACCTGTTGCAACCTCTGATATAGGTTAAAATTGGAAGCAGAGATTTGAATAACTTTTTTCCCATCAGCTAAATGACTTTGAGTGGTTCTTATGAGACAAGGACTGAGTACATTGGTATAAGCAGTAACGCCAGGATGAACTTATAAAGCAAAAATGTCTGACAGTGCTGTGCATCATAATGCGTGTTTCAGATAACAAGAACAATTAAATATAACAGCAAGCACTTTATTTAACCTACTTTTATATTCTGACACAGAAAATTAATCCATCAAACAAAATGTAAGTTTCTTGTTTTTAAAAAAGGAAAAAATTATAAGATCTGCTTATGTGGAAACAAATATGTTCCCCAAGAGCAGCATTCCCTTCCTATTGTTCTGTTTGCTCCTACAGCCACTTTCAGCATGTTGGGTTATCAGTCCAATACAAATTGAAGGCTCCTTCAGGCAGGGCTCTTGTTCCTTTATTTGCATGTAAAGTATTATGCACACCAACAGTTTTGAATAATAGCAGAAACTGTTTTTCACAGATAAGGGATGCAAGGTGTACGTGCCATTTTTTTCATTATAGTCAAGGTTAAATAACTAGCCAATTTGCAGCATAATGATTAGCTGCAAATATATGTCAAAAGAAGACTACAATGGAGCTGCTTTGTAATAGTATTTTAAAAATACAAGAATTTTAAAGTCAATATAGAATTGACTTTAATATACAAATTTTAAAGCTGGAATAATAAGTTGGAATCTTTGTATGGCTTAATGCAGGGGTGGGCAAACTTTTTGGGCCGAGGGCCACATCTGGGTGGGGAAATTGTATGCAGGGCGGGGGTAGGGGGTTGGGGTGCGGGGGGGTGCACGGGGGTGTAGTGTGCAAGAAGGGGCTCTGGCAGGGGGTTGGGGTGCAGGAGGGGTGTGGGGCGTACGAGGGGGCTCAGGGCAGGGAGTTGGGGTGCAGGAGGGGTGTGAGGTGCAGGCAGGGGGCTTAGGGCAGGGAGTTGGGGGGTGGGGTGCAGGAGGGGTTCGGGCTCCGGCACGGCGCAGCTTACCTAAAGCAGCTCCGGGGTGGCAGCGGCACGCACCGGGGCCAGGGCAGGCTCCCTGCATGCCTGCCCTGGCCCCACGCCGCGCTGCTCCAGGAAGCGCTGCGGCCCC